ATGTAAAGAAGAAACGCTACTGTATTATGTTGTGGGACAAAGGAGTGGGGGTGGATATGGTCGGGTCTCTTCCCCGTCACTCTTTAAAGCTCATGCACACATTCCCATTAAATAGGCAAAACAGGGAGGTGCTCAGGCTCCCCCCGCTCCCCCCACCACCCACATTCCTGGGGTTCATCATCAATGTTCAAAGTACTTAACCAAATGCAAAAACAACATAATGAGAAAAAATACTGCGAACTCCGATGAGACACAAATCAATTTTTAAGTCAGTAGGCCTACTATTTCTTGCTTTGAGAAATGTTCATTTGAATTATGAATTTATGCTTCATGAAACAGATGAGACTGGAATAAGGACTTACATTTTCAAAATCAGTTGGCAGGCTTCTCAAAACCATTCACTTCTACAGAGCTTGATCATGTGCGATTACTGAAAAACTGAGAATGGATATAAAACTGGTAAAATATGCCCCTGTAGTTACGATCAGTGGCATGCACAAACTTCTCCAGGGGCAGGTGCTCGGACAGGGAGGCGGGGCCAACCGATGCCTTTTCCCTGCCGTGGGGGGGGGGATCCCCCTGCATATGTATGCGGAGTTCATGATTGTTGGTTATCTAAAAAGGGCACTTGAACCATCAAAGGGGGGGGGCAGCTTTCCACTTTTCCTCTGCCATATGTTACTAGCACCACGCAGCGGCACCAAGATGACAGGTAAGTTCTTGAAATTAACAACAGAAATAATGAGGCAGGGCAACAGCATGCCAATGCTTCCGAGTTCTCTGTAGTTATTTATTCAACATTCTTTTTAGCAAGTGCATGTCATCTCTTTCTTATGAGTCAGATATACATTCAATGTATATTCGTTTTTCTTTATTTGTTTTTTTTTTTTAAACAAGAATGATATCCCGTTTCCAGGTTAACACAATATACAACACGTAGTTCACATTGTATAACATACATATTCACACTTCCTATGGTCTATTGTACAGCTTCTGTATATATGAAGTGCAAAAATCACGGTATATTTTACCAGCTAACTGTTCCGAATACATTTATGATCTTTTGTCATCGATATCTAACACCGACTCTGATTTTACGAGTAAAACTCACACACTGCAAATTGATCAACATCAATTCAGCAATATACTTGTTGCTCAGAACTAATAATTCTTCACGCATGCAACTTCAAATATCTCATTGACCATTTTCAAACAAACTCATAAAGCATAAATAATTTTACAATGTTTTTAGCTGGTGGGAGAAAATGTGGGAACTGAGCTAACCAGTAAACACGCACAATAGGCGGCACACGCACAAAACACGCGTGTGCCGAGTTAATTAGCCCTTCTAACAAAATTCATGTGTCACTTTATTTTACTAAAGCAGCTATAGTTAACTAATATCTTGTCATGTCTTTATCCTGTTTTAAATGTGTTTTACACATGACTTTCTTGAAATATAGGAGAAATGATAGGAGGGGCCATAGGGATCGGGCGCATTGTGAGCTGGGCAGTGGCCAAAGGCGGGGATCTTGGCGGTCCGATCCTCGGCTGCAGAAGCTAGC